TCATATCAGCAGCACATGAGCAAGTGTGAATGAGTACTAGTCAGGTGAAATCACTATCATACTAGAGCAGACTGATTGCAATAAAAGGAGGAAAGAAGTGCTTCCAGTCATTGTGTTCTTTTTAGTAATGGTTACCTCCTAAGAAACACATGCAGCCATCGTCGCTTTCCATCAAAATGACCTCACATGCAAGGAAATTGCAACAAAGAATCTTGCACCTGAAAGAACCATTGCACTTGAAAGATCAGAGGGAGAGAGGTTCGACTGCAGTGAAGAAGTCTTCAGGACGTCCCAGAGTGTCCAGCAAGCACCAGGACCGTCTCCTCCTAAAGGGTCAGCTACGGAATCGTGTCACCAGCAGTGCAGAGCTTGCTCAGGAATGGCAGCAGGTTGGTGTGAGAGCATCTGCTAGAGCACCATGTCACAAAGCAAGAGTGATAGAGAAGTGGCATTACATTGAAATTTTGGATCCGTGGCCAGGCAACTCGCCGGATCTCAATCCCTTTTAAAAAAAGAAATTGTGATCAACTCCGAGAACTAATAAGGCAAGAATGGATCGCCATCAGTCAGGATTTGGCCCAGAAGCTAATATCCAGCATGCCAGAGCAAATTGCAGAGGTTATGAAGAACAAGGGTCAACACTGGGAATATTGACTCATATTTTTTGCCAATAAAACCTTTTAAAACTTATGATATGCTTATCATTGTTTTTCAGTATACCATAGAAACATGTGGGGAAATAATCTACAAATACTGAAGCAGCAAACTTTGCAAAACACGAAATTTGTCACTGCCAAAACTTTTGGCCATGACTTACTGTACACTACCGTTCTTTTTTTGTTTTTGAAAGAAGTCTCTTACCAAGGCTGCATTTATTTGATCAAAAATACAGTAAAAACAGTAATATTGTAAATATTTCAATTGAACTGTTTTCTATTTATATATATTTTATTAAAAAAAGCTGCATTTTCAGCATCATTACTCCAGTCTTCAGTGTCACATGATCCTTCAGAAATCATTCTAATACGATGATTTGATGCTCAAGAAACATCTCTTATCAATTTGTAAACAAGTTGTCCTGCTTAATATTTTTGTGGAAACCTTTAAGAAATCTTTTACAGATATGTGTAAAGCTTCTATAAACATTTTCATAAATAATTATATATAATGTAATATTTTATATATTGAATAATATATATTATTCAATATATAAAATATTACATTATATATAATTATTTATGAAAATGTTTATAGAAGCTTTACACATATCTGTAAAAGATTTCTTAAAGGTTTCCACAAAAATATTAAGCAGGACAACTTGTTTACAAATTGATAAGAGATGTTTCTTGAGCATCAAATCATCGTATTAGAATGATTTCTGAAGGATCATGAAAATATTACATTTATATAAAAGTAGGCAATAAAAAATATATTTATTTTATCACACTAATAAGTAATCAGTAAACACAGTAAACTTGTAATATTCTGAGAAGATAAATAGTTAAGCTGTCGACAAACATCCACTATTATTTATAGCATGAAAGACAGGGAAACCCCAAAGTAGAAAAATAGCTTCTC